TTGCCAAATTATTGTAAATGTTGATGATTTATTTTTGGTAGGAAGTGTAGAGTTAACCGATTGCAAGCTACCAGGCATAGATTTAATAATTGGACAATCAATGATAAATCAAGAAAATGTGAGCTTAGTTACGACGTCAAATAGCGTAAAATTTGTTCCAACCTATACTTTAGGGGATATCTTCACAAATAACAGTTTTAACATATTTTTTTTTAAATAGAATAGGGTGACAAACGAGCACACAGTCCACCTGACGGTAAGTGGTTGCTGCGGCCCATAGACATCTACACCTATCCTCCATTAAAAATCAAAATGCAGATGCGTTGTCACCCTTGAGGACTGAGATGGAATGCCTCGTTTCCAGTAAAAAGGGTCTCCGGTTCTCTACACTCACCATACGAAATACAGCAGCATTAAGCTACTATTTCACGCTGGTATTCTGTGAGAGCGTGGTCCTTCCCCGGTCGAGATGACCCATTCGTGCTACAACTATACCAGTAATTTAACTGCAGCATGGCTCTACCACGTATAAAATATTGAATATGGGTCGAAATTTCCAGTCTTTACAAAAATAGAGGACACTATACCTAGCCAAACCTATGCATACATTAGCGTAAGTGTCGATTGTAACAGTAATGCTGACAAAAATAAGCACGCATTTCTAACACATGCAGTGTGTTTTCAGTTAGGTGGGTTATTGTATTATATACCAGAAGCGATTATTAATTCGAGTATATCGTATTTAAAGGTACTTAACGTTGGGAATGAAACTATATCATGGCCTGCTAATAAACTCATAGCTAGAGCGGAGATTTTAAAACAAAAAAATAATAATTTTGTAACCGATACTCTTATTGTAGACCAAGTCACTAATAAGTCCGAAATTAAATTGACTTATATTGATGCGGGTGAACTGAGTCATAGGGAGATAAATGAATTGCTACAGCTACTAAATAGGTATAACCATTAATTTGCCATAGGCACGAAAGATTTAGGAAGTAGTAACTTAACTAAATTACACATAAAAACAATTTCAAACCAACCTGTGTATCGTAAACCGTACCGAGTTTCACATAAGGAAAATGAAATAATGAACAGCAAATTAAATAAACTTTTGGAAGCAGGAATTATAAGAAAATCTTCATCGGAGTATGCTAGTCCTGTTGTCCTAGTAAAGAAAAAAGGAGGGGACTATAGACTTTGTGTCGATTATAGCGCGTTGAATGCTAACACCATTAAAGATCGGTACCCTCTACCCCACATAGAAGATCAAGTCACTCGTCTATCAGGTAAATCCTATTTTACAACACTAGACCTCGCTCAGGGATACTACCAAGTACCAATTGATGACGAGTCCATAGGGAAAACCGCGTTTATTACCCAATCAGGCCTGTATGAGTTTTTAAAAATGCCTTTTGGATTATCTAATGCACCCGCTGTATTTGCGCGATTAATACAAGTAACTTTAGGGGAAGTCAAAGGATGTCCCGAAATAGCTCTATATTTAGATGATGTTATGATTGCGACTGTATCAGTAAAAAGGGGATTGGAACTCTTGGAACAAGTCTTTGGTTTACTTGCAAAAGCTAATCTAAAATTAAATTTAAAAAAGTGTTCATTTCTTAAAGGTACCGCTAATTATCTAGGCCATGAAATCTCTGCCGGTACAATTCAGCCAGGTCGAGCTAAAATTATTTGCGTAGCTGAATTTCGTCAACCCCGAAATGTACACGAAGTAAGGCAGTTTATCGGATTAACGTCTTATTTTAGAAAGTTTATAAAGAACTTTGCCCAAATAGCACAACCGTTAACTGAACTTACCAAAAAGGATGTGGAATGGCATTGGGATTCTCAGCAGGAACAAGCATTTCGTACACTAAAGCAACGATTAATAGAAAGAGCAGTTTTAGGCATATACGACAAGGATGCTAAAACAGAACTCCACACTGATGCAAGTAAACTCGGTTTAGGCGGGGTCCTCATTCAGCACCAAAGAAATGGTAGCTTAAAACCAATCGCGTTTTATAGTAGAGTCACGACGAATGAGGAAAGATGTTACCATAGCTATGAATTGGAGACTTTAGCTGTTGTAGAATCCCTTAAACGCTTTCGTATATACCTTACTGGCATACCCGTTAAGATAGTTACGGATTGTGCGGCTCTGCGAACTACGTTAGTTAAAAAGGTTTTGATTCCGCGTATAGCCCGCTGGTGGCTAACTATTCAAGATTTCGACCTAGAAATAGAGTATCGGCCAGGCGAACGTATGAAACATGTTGATGCTCTGAGTAGGAACCCATCCTAGAGTTTTCTCCTCATGATAGATAATGATGATTGGTTAAAAAACTGTGGTATTCAAAATATCCTCACACAATTTCGCGAACAAAGCACTAATCCAGACTTAACAGCCAATTATGTAGTTAAGGATAATCTGCTGTTTAGGAAAACCATTGCTGGAGATAGATTTGTTATTCCTAAATTGGTAGCCAAGTATGGGTTGTTACAAAAACTTCACGATCAAATAGGGCATCCGGATTTCGAAAAATACGAGAAGAGCATCAAAACGCAATTTTGGTTCCCGGGCATGACACGGTTCATACGTAAGTACATCAACGCTTGCTTACAATGCGCTTTCGGTAAGGGCAACCACGGCAAACTAAAGGGGGAATTACACCAGTGTTGCCGTTTTAGCGACTTTCTCGCTAGATCTAGCGGATTTTAACAATGTTTAGCGGATAACAAAATCGTTTTAGCGAGAAATAATTATTTTGCGATTTCTAGCGACATTTGGACTTTTGAGATGGCGACTTTTTTATAAAGTAATTCATTTCAAATAAGTAATTTATCATATGTCCAAATTTGTAATCTACCATTGGTAACACTGTATATATAATATAACGGGAATTCCCGAACATAAACTAACAATTCAATGTCGTTCATTCACTTTCATCTGTTTCGACCTTAGACCATGGTCTAAGGTTTCGACATACAAAAATGCAGCAGGAGTAAACATATTGGTAGATTTATGTAATTTTGCAATAGTAATATTATCACTACCACACTCAAATGCAGACTTTGAACGCGTATTTGGTGCTATGAATGTAGTTTAAAGTAAACTGCGAAACAAGCTTTGATTAAAACTACTTTTACGGATTTTATCGCGTTTTATTTATATTAATTTTAATACCCGACGTTTCGGGTGCTTTCCAGCACCCATGGTCACGGGGGACTGAGGTGAATGACGTCCCGATGTCAAAGTTAACCCGGAGTACCTTCAGCTTTTTAATTACTGTCTTTGGTCTGATCTACGCAGAATGAACTAACTGTATTTTGAAGTCTTGCAGTGGTATGCTTGGGTTTAGTTTTAATGTTATTAATTATAGGTGGTAATACAGGTGGTAGTACCCAGCCTCCTTCTCTATTGAAATTAGGATGTTTTTTAATTTCAATAGCCTCACGTATCATCCTTGGTAGGAATCGATGTTCTTTCGCGAGGATTTGTGGTCTGGCCATCTAGAATATGATCGCAAACTGCAGACTTCCCATCAACGTTCATCATGTGCAACGTGCATCAACGTTCCGGGAAGTCTGCAATAAAATTAAAACTAAACCCAAGCATACCACTGCAAGACTTCAAAACACGGTTAGTTCATTCTGCGTAGATCAGACCAAAGACAATAATTAAAAAGCTGAAGGTACTCCGGGTTAACTTTGACATCAGGACGTCAGTCACCTCAGTCCCCCGTGACCACGGGTGCTGGAAAGCACCCGAAACGTCGGGTATTAAAATTAATATAAATAAAACGCGATAAAATCCGTAAAAGTAGTTTTAATCAATGTATAGTGTTCGCGTAAATAGGTATAAGAAATCATTATGCGAAACAAGCTATCAGAAAAAAACTTTGAATTCCATTCTTCATAGAAATCAGTTAAGGATTAAAAAAATAATTGCGCGATATTCCCGAAGATGTTGTCAACGAAGTCGATAAAGACAAACCAAAGATAGGAACTGGAGACATTGGCGAAGCTTCAACTTCCGCTGAAGTTCTTTTTGAAGAACTGGATCCATTCATCTTCGCTATTAATTTTGAAATTTAGGTAAAAGAACGTACGGAGCTAATTGTTTTATTTTTGATAAGATGACTAATGTTTAAACGTGGTTTAAAGATTTAAAATTTATTTTTTTACAATATTTTTTTATTTTGTACATCAATTATTTTTGTTTTGGTTGTCATATCATTAACCTACACTATAAATAACTGATTTATTTGAAATAGAGTCCGCTCCATTTAAGGTTTTACTGAATTTATAGATTTTGATTTTCGGTAGTCATTGACCATTAGGCAAGATTTTTCAGTTAGCCCAATTGTACCACGAAAATATACCTAGGGACATCTAGCGGATTTTAAGAAAAAGAAAAATCCTGTTTCTGGCGGATTTTTTCTGTTAGTCTAGGGACTTTAAAATTTGTAGAACGGCAACCTTGAATTACACCCAATGGACAAAGCAGCTTGTCCCATGCATACCATACACGCAGACCACCTGGGATCCACGGCGTTGACAGCTAGAACATTTTTTTAAAACTTAAGAGTTTGGAGGGCACTCTTAAATCAACACTTGGTGGCGCCACAGACTTCCTATTTTGACAAATGTCAGTTAAATGTTGACACTTGAAAGTAGCAATCTTTTTTTTACAAATCGCTGTCGATTCGTAAGACTCGTACACGTTTCTGTATTTTTTTGGTTACTGCTCTACAAATTCACTAGCAACGTTGAGTTGAGCTTCAGTTCCTCCGTTATCTCGTCGAATCTTTGTGGTGCTGTTGATTCAGTGACTTATAAGAGACAGGACTCATTTTAGAGATAGAACTCATATTTTTTGGTGTAGTAGATAATATCTACTAGTGCCGTAGGGTTAAATAATGCCTATTACCGTGTGTTGTGTCAACTCTTGTCTTGCCAAGGATATAGTAATGTTTTACTTTCCTCGAGACAAAAACATGCAAAGCCTTTGGCTTTCTTATGTCGCTCCTCATAGCCCTGAACTTCTTCAACTGTCATCGAAACAATTAGCCAAAAAGAAGATTTGTATCAGGCATTTCGAACATCAATATCTTGATGGCTTCACGAGGAAATACCACGGTTATCCTACTCTACTGACTGAAGAAGAAATAGCTTGTGGAGTACCCAGTAAGTACGAAAATATCTTTCCCATTTAGAGCCAAATTTAGAAATATATTTGATAAAGACTGAATTATACCCGAGGCAGTGGTTTAAATTATTTATCAATGCAATATTAACCATGAGAGTAGAGTTTGAAGAAAATATGATACTAAATATATTGCATGTTCTTATGCAAAATTTTTTTTTGGTTTTATAATCACTGTTTTAAAAGCTATCTTATATTACAAAATAGCTAAAGTGATATTTATTTCAGGTCAATCCATCACTGACTATTATGATCATACTTACTGTAAAAGAAGGCAAGGTATGGAAGAAGCAGCTCCTGAAATAATTAAAAAGCCAAAATATAGTAAAGAATACATGCTGGGTAAATATTTTTTTAATATTAGCTTGATATATATTATGTACACATCACACATATGTTTACCTTGAACAAATTGTCCGATTAAGTAAGTCCAACTTTAACCTAGACATCAATCAACGGATCCAACTCAGCTGGGCAGCGTGTGAAGATTATGACACATCTTGTCATATATACCTCAAAACTTGAAAACAAGATTATATAACCAGTGCATAATGCCATTGATAACATATGGATCTGAGATGTGGTCCTCTATGCAAAGGTCGTCTGGGAGAGATCACTTTCAGAGTGACAAGAACGCTTGTTGTTCATATTATACTTTAGATTGAACTCTACTCATTTTCCTGTATTTTGGTATACAATTAAAAATAAAAATAAAGTTATAAAGTAATTATTTTAATTGCAGTTAATTTAGATAATTCACAAAATAGTAAAAGAGAAAATACTGGAGAGACTTCTGTGTCAGATGACATCACCATGTTGTCAAAGCCATCAACTTCTCAGCAAAGTTATTACATCTCCATGTCGCCAAAACCATCAACTTCTCAGCAAAGTTATGATGTCCCCATTTCACCAAAGCCATCGACAATTCAACACAGTAAGTTTATTTTAAATTAATGTAATGTTAAATGTTTATACATAATTTCATACTTTATTTTCCACTATGATCACAAAATACCTGAGCATCATAGTGATCTTTCTTTATACCAGATTGTAAAATAAGAGTCATATTAATTGTAATTTAACATGTAGTTTCCTAGTGTTAATGTTTTTACATACATGTGTACTTTTTTATAGTCAAAAGTTAGAACAATGCCAACAGTTAAATAAAAATATTTATTTTATATGAACCATTTGTAATACTGATTACAATATCACTCATACATATTTTTTTCCAGGTGATAAAAACAAATGTATTAAGCTTGTAAAAAGTAGACCTCGACTTGTAACCAATATTAACAACTTAACTCCAAGATGTCGAAGGTTGTACTTTAAGTGTAAAGATATGATTAAAAGAAAGAGATTGTTTACAAGTAATGAAGATAACAAACAAAACATTGCTCATGCAGAAATTCTTAGCAATACCAAAAGTTTTAGAAAATTAATAGAAAAGTTAGATTTCTTCCCAAAACAGTTTATAGCATTGCAGCTGAGGTTTGCTGGTAAAGCTTCAAAAGGAAGAAGGTATAATATTGATGAAAAATTAATGAGCATTGCGCTGTATAAACAGAGCCCTAAGGGGTATTCCCTTCTACAAAAATTATTCTCTTTACCAACCAAAAGAACTCTGAATAGAGTTTTACAAAATATTAAATTTGGAGAAGGTATAAATGAAAACTTTTTTGCAATTTTAAAACAAAAAATCAAAACATTGAGTAATGCAAAAAAACTGTGCAGCATTGTTTTTGATGAAGTTCAGTTATCTGCACATTTGAATTTTATTGCAAGCAATGATGAAATTGAGGGGTTTGTAAAAGCAGATGGGCCCCCAAAATTTGCTGACCATGCTTTGGTAGTGATGCTCAGAGGTATTTGTGCATCATGGCGACAACCAGTCGCTTACTATTTTTGCCAAGGAACTACACCAGCAGCTACTTTGAAACATATTTTAAAGGATATGGTTAAGATAGTAATCGAATCTGGATTAAAGCCTTTAGCCTTCATTTGTGACCAGGGAGCTACATCACAGCGTGCTCTTAAAGATCTTCAAGAAGAGACTAAGAGACACTGTTTTCAAAATAATATAAAATTTGGTAAGCTTAAAAAATAATATTAAATACATATAATATTTTTTTTTATAGGATAGGGTGACAAACGAGCACACAGTCCACCTGAAGTGGCTACTGTGGCCCATAGACATCTACATCCTTATTTGTGAATCAAAATGCAGATGCGTTGTCACCTGTGAGGACTAAGATGGAATGCCTCTTTTCCAGTAAAAAGGGTCTCCGGTTCTCTACACTCACCATACGAAACACAGCAGTGTTAAGCTGCTATTTTACGCTGGTATTTTGTGAGAGCGGGGTCCTTCCCCGGTCGAGCCAACCCATTCGTGCTACAACTATACTACTAATATAACTGCAGCATGGCTCTACCACATATAATAATATACCTAGTATTATGTCGATTCCTACTTTAAAATCGGTTAAATTAAACTTTTGAGCACTGAAGGTTTTGGTTTTGAGACCAAAGGTTCTGAAAACATTTTAATGAGTGGAAGCTAAAATGCACAACTCCTATAAAGTCTTCGAGTTGAGCACTTCACCTATTTTTCTCTCTCTAAAATTATAAACCTTGTAAAAATAATATCCCATCATTGTAATGAAATATTTTTTTATAGATGGTAGTATCCTAATTGGGGGAAGTAACTTAAGTGTGATCTATGATCCTCCACACTTAATAAAAGGCCTACGCAACAACATGTTGAATAAGAATTTAATTTTTGAGGGAAAATTAACAAAATGGGAAGACATTGTAGATGTTTATAACTATGACTGTAAATTAGGAAATATAAGAATGCTCCCAAAATTGTCAGATGAGCATGTTATACCAGAAAAAATAAAGAAGATGAAAGTTAAGAACTGCACTCAAGTCTTCAGTGAACGCGTAGCTGCCACAATGCAGTATACAGCAACTTTTTGTAAGTTAACTACTGCCTATTTTTTCAATAAGGATAACTATTCATATTTTAACTATGGTAGTCTATTAAAGGGTTTTTGACGAGTTCATCACACACAGTCCACCTGATGGTAAGTGGTTTCTGTGGCCCATAGACATCTACATTTATCCTCGATTACAAATCAAAATGCAGATGCGTTGTCACCCGTGAGGACTAAGATGGAATGGCTTGTTTCCAGTAAGAAGGGTCTCCGGTTCTCTACTCTCACCATACGAAACACAGCAGCATTAAGCTGCTATTTTACGCTGGTATTCTGTGTCCTTCCCCAGTCGAGCCGACCCATTCGTGTTACAACTATACCAGAAATATAGCTGCAGCATGGCTCTACCACGTATAAAAGGTAAAAAAGGTGGTTTTCTAGTTTTCTATATGCTAGAGTTGCATCAAGAATTTCATCCTTTAAACAAATCAAATACTTTATTTGCTATTGGTGTAAAGGTTTTAGGATAGTTATATTATGTACTTACAACTAAATGGACTTTATCAGGCATTCTAAACTTAAGGGAATTGTATTAGACAAGATATAAGTAGAAAACAAATTCTTTGTACAACTATTTAAATATAATATAGCTAAATAAAAAAAAAATTAAAATGTCACAGAGTAAAGTTCTACTTAACTTAACAAAATAATGTCAATGGGATTCTCAAATATTACTAGATTAAAATATATTAATAAATATAACTAAATTTAAATTAATATTTTCTATCATTTCATAAAACAAATGTCATAATGTAAAATTTTAATTTAATACAATCATAATGTCAACAAACTTAATATTCACCCACAGAATAGAAACATTTTTGAAGGAGAAAGGTTTCAGTTTTTTATTAAATAGTTTTGCTTTTCTGTGTGTTTATTTGTACCAAGAAATTACATATTATGGATCTTAAAGTTGTCTTTTGATGAAATGTACTCTGCTACGATAAATTAATAAATGATCTTAATTGATGTCCATTTGCTGGATGATTATTTAATCTATGAATATGTTTTTAATTATTGACAAACAAGTGCACAGCTCATCTGATAGTAAGTGGATAGATAAGTTGTAATTCATAAAGATAATAAGTGTCCAGCAGGCCTTATTATATTAGTAGGTATTTACAAATTATTTTATTATTTTTATGCTTGATGCTGATATATTTTTTGTAGACAATCCTTGAAATTGTGAGTTTCTTATACTTTGGTCAATGTATAACATTATGGGCTACCATGTAAAAAGCGATTAATGGAATATTGGGTTTGTGATTGTGTACGCGTAAAGCTAACTTTATGTCCTTTTTTAATTTCCTATGTCACATCCACAACTAAGACAAATATCTGATGATACCCAAATGTTAAAATCCATCAAGCTGTTTGGGCTACAGTATGATCCCATCAATGCCCATCATATTGTTTATCATATAACTTTTGATAGTTTAGTTTTTACTTCTTCTCTGTGAGATTTGCAGTCTATGAATGTGTGTTTGTGGCAATTTAAATAACTCAACTGTCTCTAAAGATGAACTTTGGGGTTTAATGTTCATTTGGAGTTGGAAAGATTTAAATAAAATGTAAATTGATTTTTCTTGTTTAGTTATTATTAATTTCATAAAAAATTATTTTGTAATAAACATGAGTAAAGATTGCCTGTTACATGTAAGTAAAAATACATCATGTAAAAGTAATTCTAATTTCATGTTTTTTGTTCCAGCTCAGCGACATGACGGAACACAAATCAGTGAAACAACAAAAAATACAGCTGCAGCAGTTGCTTTCTTTGACCAATTGTTCGACAGTTGCAATGGTTCGAGGTCTGGTAGGGCTCCAGGAAAAAATACGAGGTCCAGTCAAACTGAATAGTGCCCACAAAGCATTTTGGATTGAAGCCATTAAGAAGTTTAAAAAAAATGCATTTCATTCCAAAAAAATTCTTTAGAAAAAGCTACAATAAAAAATGTACCAACATTAAACAATTGGGTTACAACACTAGAAAGCCTAATAAGAGTAAGTGAAATAATGCAATCGGAGGGGGTCAGTTTCTTTTACACGAGAAACCTAAATCAAGACCCCCTTGAAAATTTCTTTGGCAAAATAAGAGCATATAATTATAGATATACCAACCCCGATACATTTTCGTTCCGAAACTCTTTTAAGTCATTATTAATGACGGACATGCTGGCCATCCACACAAAAAATTTTAATTGTGAAGATGATATGGGGGAGACCATATTAAACATAACAACTTTATTGAATGAGGAATTTGCTTCAGATGAACAACCAGTTCCCGATAGTAATGATAATAAAAACCTTAGTTGTTCATCTGAAGTAAATTTATCAGGAAATATGGTCTCCTCCATATTTGAAGAAAAAAATAAATGTAAATGCGAGGAGTTACACTTCAGGATATATTATAAGAAAACTGTGTCAAAATAAATGTAAAAATTGCAAAAAAACATTTTTAAATAATGAGGATCAGCAGCTTAGTGTCCATGATTTAATTAGACACAGAGAACGAAAGCACCTTAAAGGGAAAAATCTTATGTACAAGATTTATTGTAGCATTTTCAAAATTAGTTGATTTAAGTAATGTGGTATTAAATAATACTTGCCACAAAGGAAATATTATTAAAAATATATCCGAAAAATTTATTACTCAAAATAATTTGGAATGGCTAGGCTGCCAAGAGCACCATGACAAAATCAAAAAAAAAATTTTTACTTCTTGGGGCTAAAATCCAAGTATTTCACTGGTGCCGAACAATAAACAGAATATTGAATGGATCGCATTGTGTAATTAATTTTAACGATGCACCATATATTCAAAAAATAGCACATATAAAATGGTTAAAACAAAGAAAATATAAAAAAAAGAAACTTGCAAATATGTTTTTTTTTTTAAATTCCTTTCCCTTATTAATATAACTAATAAAGAATAATGAAAATAAAAGAAATCGATAAACTCAATTCACATCCCTATCGCTGCAAAATCTATCGATATCATGGATAATCTATACACCCCAACACTAACAAGGTAGCCATCTAGCGGGAAAAAAGCTTGCCCTCCAAACTCGCTACGGCGACGTACTGTCCTATCTGTCTTGTACATACAACTTTATAATTTGTGCTGGGATCTTTCATAAAAACTCGTAAAGGTAATACTTATTGTCGTTATCGATGCATTTACCAAGTTTATTTTCGCTAGATCAGCTAAAAACTGCAGCTCCATAGAGACTATAAGGCTACTAAAAGACATACTCTACCATTTCGGTAATCCAAAGAGAATCATTACCGACAGAGGCAAGGCATTTACTAGCCGCTATTTTTAACTTTTCTCCAATGAGTTACAGTTTAAACACGTTTTAAATGCTATAGCATGTCCTCGTTCCAACGGTCAAGTTGAGCGTGTGAACCGCACCTTACTAAATGAAAATAAATGAAAACGCAAATTAAAAGCGTTCGTGCCAGCGCACCTCACTGAAATTACTGGAGTCATAAGATACGTACCTAAAGACTTAAACAATGAAGACATATACAAAAGCATTACCTGCGATGCAGAAGTCATCTCCGTCAAGAGATTTATGAGAAAGATAGATGGAAAGCTCACTCCGCTGGGGACCATTGCAGTGACCTTCGCTGCGACAGCGCTGCCGCAGCACGCCTACATATAGATGTTCAGATACCCGGTCCACATATACATCCCTCCATTACTACAGTGCTACAAATGCCTGAAGTTTAATCACTCTGCGAAAGTCTGCCGAGGTTCTCAAATGTGTTCTACGTGCTCTGGACAACACTCCTACAAAGAATGCGACGTCGAAAAAATTATGTGCATCAACTGTCAAGGTGGTCACTTGGCCATCTCTAGGGACTGTCCAGTGAAGCAACAAAAGATGGAAGAGAAGAAGAATAAGTATTTAAAACCAAACCGATCGTATGTCGCTGTGGTGAGTATCCCAGCAATGCCCGACCCGAGAGCATTTCCAAACCTTAAACCTGTAAAGACTGTTGATACTGACATAAATAAAGTACCATATAACACTGAGCAAATACTAAACAACGAGTTAATTATTAATGCGCTAGTTAAATCATTAGTTATGCTTGGCAATGACAAGAGCAGCGCTCCGATTACAAATAAAAGAATTAAAGACATACTTTTAAGTAATTTAATACCATAATGGATACATATTTGATCCATTATGGTATTAAATTACTTAAAAGTATGTATTGATAGCACAATATAACATACAGAGCTTACAGAACAAAAGCGCCTTACTTAAAAAAATTCTTTCGGAACAACATATAGATATCTGTCTCTTAAATGAAACCTGGCTTAAAACAACTAGTACAATTCCCGATTTTTCACCCTATAATTTTATACACATAAAACTCAATAAATGAACATAATGGAGTAGGTATATTAATTAAACAAAACTTAAAATACACTATTGTAAATACAACTTTTTTCGAATCTGTGCAAAATATTTGCATTTCCGTAGACACAACTATGGGTAAGTTACATATTCTATGTGTATATTGTCCCCCCAATAGCAGCAGGTTTACTACTAGCAAAATGAAAAAGGTGCTACTTGAAACTCCTAAGCCATGTCTTATTATGGGAGATTTTAATGCTCACTATATCCTGTTTGGATGTCAGACAAATAATAATAGAGGTAACAGTTTATATGCACTTATTGATGACTTTGACTTGTGTATTCTGAATGATGGTGACACAGCTACAACTGTCCAGTATCCTAACAGAAATCAGTTGGCAATAGATTTAGCTCTGGTTAGTTCCGCATTAACTCCTCTTTGTGAATGGCACGTCCATGACGACCCGATGGGCAGTTACCACTACCCAACTGTGGTCGCTCTAAATGTGAAGCCTTCTATATATGAAGTGCGTCCTGTGGAAGAAAAATACATTTATAATAAAGCAGATTGGTCTAAATATCAAGAACTATCAGAAACGAGATTTTGTAATTTAGAAATACATGGTACAGTGGTATTTTGTATGATATTAGAGCAGAGACTGTTCCAAAGCAAACACCACAACAAACTTTAAGGGTAATGAGAAAACCTGCACCCTGGTGGAACCAAACATGTGATGATGCTGTTCGAAAGTCTAAGGAGGCCCTCAAAGAGTATAGAAAATCGCCTAGTATTCCTTATTTCATTAACTACAAAAAACTTGATGCTCAAAAGAAAAGGATATTAAAAGAAGAAAGTATTAATTCATGGCACAATTTATGTACTAGTTTTAATAGAATGACACCTATTTCTCGAATATGGAACTACATGAAAAGGTTTAGAAGGATAGGTTCTTCTCATAACAGATATTTGGCTGACAATTGGATACCAAGCTTCTTAGACAACATAACAGACTCATCACAGTTGAATGAAGATTAATTTGAATGATATTTTAGATCAATCTGTTGAAAATGAAAGTAACTCGTTTCTCAATAGACCATTCACACTAAATGAATTGTACATAGCACTCAAAAGTAGGAAAGATACAACACCAGGGTTGGACAGCATACCATATATGTTAGTAAAAAAATTACATCCTAATGCACAAGAAATGTTATTAAATATTTATAATAAACTTTGGAATAATTTAGCTATACCAGAGTCATGGAAAACCCAATGTGTAATCCCCATTTTAAAGCCAAATAAAGCTGCTAATGATCCATCATCACACAGATCTATTTCTTTGTCATCGTGTTTAGGTAAGCTTTTTGAAAACATGTTAAAGTTATGTCTAGATTATTTTGCTGAAACACAGGATAAACTACCTCACATACAATTTGGATTCAGAAAAGGCAGAAGTTGCTCTGAAAGCTTTGTATCTCTGATATCGGAACTTAAAAAGGCCAAACTTAGCCATTCTAATGTTATATGTGTATTTTTAGATGTTAAAGGTGCCTTTGACAATGTTAATATTGAATGCCTCATAAAAGTTTTGCATGAATTGGGCTTGCCAAGAAATTTATTAATCTGGATTTTAAATTTCTTGCATGATAGGACTCTGTTTGTTAAATTTAACAATAAACTACATGGACCTAGGCCTGTTAACAAGGGAACAATGCAGGGAGCGACACTTTCAACTTTGTTGTATAATTTATACACATCTCAGATACTTAATAATGTAGATACATCACAAGTTAAAATATTAGGGCGCGTTCCCACTATGTCGTAACGACTAATTTATCGTTCGACGACTGTCGTCTCTACCTGTTCCCATTATAACGATTGTTTGTCGTCAACATTTTTTATCGTTTAGCGACTGTCGTATCTAGCTGTTCCCATTGGATCGCTCAGATCGCTCGCATCATCAGCAAGATACAAATCTAGTCGCCTCTGCGTTCGCTTGGTGATTACTAGTGCGTTTACTCACCTGAGTTCAATGGACGAAGATGAAATTTTAATAATGTATTACTTTTTGAAAAGAAGGAAAATGAAGCAAGAAATGAAAAGAAAGTACTGGGTACATCCAATGTTAATGAAAAGAATTCCATTAGGATTATGTCAGAGTTATATAGAAGAATTAAAAAGTGATGATGGAAAGTTTTATGAGTATTTAAGAATGACTGTCTCCACCTTTGATAGCCTACTGGCACAACTTGCCGACAATCTTAGAAGAGAAAACACACATTTCAGAAATTGTATAAGTGCCGAAGAAAGACTAGTGATAACTTTAAGGTAAGTAAATAAAATGAAAATTCTTTATTAATGTATACATTTATTTATTTAGAGATTTATTTTAGAGTTACACGTTTTATAAGTAAAGACATCTTTAAATTATATATTGTCAAAATTAAAAGAATCTTGTGTGCTATCAGACAAATTAGTATAGACTGAATTTGGTGATGCAGCCGGTTCCATAACTTGATTGCTAGTCGAAGTTGATGCACCTGGATCTTGTGTAAAATATCCTGTCGGTTGTGATAAATGGTTTTGGTAGTCACCATAGTTTGCATAAGTATCATATAAATTATTACGAAGGCGTTTCTTTTTAATTTTTTCAATCAGTTGCATAATACCCGTTTGGAATTCAAAATTGTCATCATTATCGAATGATGCCAAAGATGGTAAAAATTCCTTAAATAAAGGACACATGTGGGTGTTCTCAATTATTTAATTTATAATCTAGAAATTGTGACATTTTATCATCTAATGTGTCAGTCTCAGTTTTCTTTTGAGTAGAAGGTGCTGCATCACTTAATGTATCAGAGATAGAATTATTAGGCTCATTAGATGAATCAGAGGTCATACGGGCTCATTAACTTTTAATAAAAAAGACAGCTGATTCTTATAAACATACGGCCTAGTAGTTTTTGCGCCTGCACCAGATCGCTTTTTTTCTTTTTCATTTTTCAGGGATCTCATAAATGCATCTCGGATATGTGTCCACTTTGTAGATATGTGTCGGTCATTGTAATAGTGATGTAACTCCATAATATTAAAAAAAATTTATTTTCCCATAGTGGGCTTACAATGTATCATATCTTTCAATATAAAAATGAAGCAACTCCACTGATACCACTAAAGTAACGTAGATGTCGCTATTTTGTTTAGTCTGGGAACAGATTTGTACTGTTATTCACTATAAAAGTGAAGTATGTCCCAAGTCACTTTTATAATGAAGTAAGTCCGGAGTTGATTCACTTTTATTGCGACCGATTGTTGTCATCCGTTGTACGTGTTGTGATAATTATTAAAAAAAGGATTTTCAAAGTCGGTGTTTTTGTGGGGTTTTAATAAAATATGTCTAATACAGAAGATTTTAGTGATTCTGGTTCTGAATATCAGCCTATTCCTGGAGAAATTCATACAGAATCTGGTAAGTTATATTTTTATTAGTTGTTTTTCTAACCTAAAAATATTGTGATAACTTTCAAGTTTATAGACAAGAAAATACGATATCTAAGAATATATTTTCTATTTAGTTATGTCCTAGAAATCACTATTATTTTATTGGTTTCGTTTTTATACTTGTTTCAGAAACAGATACAAGTTGTGACGAAAATATTATGATGCCGTCTAGTCTATCAGAACCTGGAACATCTAAATCTAGAAAAAGGTCAATCAACAAGGAAAATTGGACAGTTAATAAAAGAAAGTTTTTGCGTAATAGTGGAAAAGGTTATGTAACTAAAATGGGAGTGGAGAAAAATACCAAAATCTTCGAAAATATTGACTGTGGATGTCCTAAAAAATGTTATACGTTTTTTACAGAAAATGAAAGGCAAGAAATGTTCGAATCATTTTGGAATTTAAAGGACTTTAATCAGCAAAATGCCTTTCTATATGCATTAGTGCAAAAAGCATCTGTTAATAGAAAACGACCTAAAGATCTGTCACGAGCAGGAAAAAACGTTTCGTTTAAGTATTTTCTCAAATCTCATATTATGACACAACTGGTATGTAAAAAATATTTTTTGAAAACATTCCAAATCAGTGATGGAACATTATATCGCTGTCTATCAAAAGGCGATGTCTCGCAATGTAAAGATAAACGAGGCACGACTAGTACTCAAAAATTAGATGATTCTGACATTATTACTCATATACAAAGCTTTCCCGCGTACCAAAGCCATTACACAAGAAAAAGTAATCCTAACCGGAAGTTTTTAAATCCTGGGCTAACTATTCGAAAGATGTACGATCTATATAAAGAAAAATGTTTGACTGAAATGACAGAACCTAAAAAATTAAAATATTATAATAAAGTTTTCAACACCAAGTTTAATCTACATTTCAAGGCACCGCACCAGGATACATGTAAGACTTGCGATAGCTTGAATTTTAAAATTAGAGGCACCGATGACGAGAACGTGAAGAAAGAGTTTGAAGTTCAAAAGGAACTTCATCAAAGAAAGGCAGATTCGGCAAGAGAAAATCTACAAATTGATGCTAAAAAAGATTAATGACGCATATGTACTAACCTTTGATTTGCAGAAAGCTTTAGCTTTCCCAAAATTAACTACTTCGGTAGCATACTATAAAAGGAATCTGTATTTGTATAATTTGGGAATACATTTTTTTAATAACAACACGGGGTACATGAACGTCTGGAATGAGATAGAAGGAGGGCGAGGGTCTCAAGACATTGCAGTCTGTCTCGTGAAACATTTAAAAACTCACGCGGTAACACAAAATCACGTCATCATGTATTCCGATTCTTGCACTGGACAAAATCGAAACATTAAGACTACCCTTTCCCTTTTAAAGCTCGTACAAGACCCGGATACTAGTATAACCACCATAGACCACAAGTTTTTAGTGTCCGGGCATTCTTATTTGCCTAATGATGGGGAATTTGGGATAATTGAGAGCGCAAGTCGCCGTCATGGACAAATTTATAGCCCGGATCAATGGATTGAGATCATGAAAACAGCCAAACGCAAAGAACCACATTTTGTTGTAACGGAAATAAAAAATTCCGAATTTAAAAGCACTGCGGCATTAGAAAAATGTATTACCAACAGAAAAAAAACAACCTGTGGTTACGACTTCAACTGGCTGAATATTAGATGGCTGAGGTTTGAGAGGAATCATCCTTTACAATTTCAATTTAAAGAAACGCTCAACGCTGACATGCCCTTCTACAAAGTAGATCTATCAAAAAAGCAACAAGGACGACCAGCTTACTTGTACAATATTCAACAAGGCCCACTCTATCCTTCAGGAAGACCAGTCACTATTGCTAAGAAGAAGGATATGCTTGATCTTCTCTCATACATTCCACCAATTTACCATCAATTTTACAAAAATCTTACTGTAGACATTCCAACACGGTCAAGCATTCTTAATGCTGATGAACGTTCGTCTGATGACGAAATAACCTACGATTAACCACTTAACGAAATCACAATAAGTATAACTCGTCACTTTAACAGTGAAGTAAGTCCACAAAAAAAAATTATAATTTGTTTCATTAAAATAACTTCGTCTTATTTTTAAATAACTATATACTATTATAATATTTCATTTGTTAACTACAATAAAAAATATAAAGCACTATAACTAAATATAATTACTAAATATAATTCACTATTACAATGAACGACACATATCTGTGTAGCTGTAAAAGTAAAATAGACTTAATATTAAAATTTGTTTGTGTATAGATTTAACATTATATGTATTAACATATAATCAGTCTAATATGTAGTCAAATTATTGTTCACGCAAACATCTGCATGTTTTTCAGAGTTTAAAAAACTATACTAAGATCGAGTTTTTCCACTAGTATCCCCAGATGTTTCCGTGAACAAGTAAGGGACTATGTATTAGACTGATTATATGTTTATACATAATTATAATGTTAGGGCATTGGTCCTCGAATATAAGTGTATTATAATAGCTGTTGTATTTATTTACAGATATTTGGCGTCGGGATGTTCGTTTAAACAACTGCATTATAATTTTAGAGTGGGAATGTCAACCATTAGCAAAATAATCAAAGAAACGTGTTCTGTTATTTGGAGTGTATTAAGTGCAGAATATTTAAAGTTGCCCAATACCGAAGAAGAATGGAAAGCGAACGCTGAAGCTTTTAAAACGAAAGCAAATTTTCCTCATTGCCTCGGTGCGCTTGGCGGCAAGCACATAAGGATTACAAAGCCAATAAATAGTGGTTCTATGTTTTTTAACTATAAGGATTATTTTTCTTTTATTTTATTTGCAATTGTTGATTCAGAATACCGTTTCATTTACGTTAGTATTGGTTCATACGGAAAAGAGTGTGATTCATCTATCCTAAAACAATCCAATTTTTGGAAGAAACTAAATGATGGTACTTTAAATATACCAAGACCCACGCCATTACACGAAAATATGCAAGAAGAAATACCATATGTATTTGTTGGAGACGAAGCCTTTACATTGTCACAAAATTTATTGCGACCTTATGGCGGTACTCATTTAGACAATAAGAAAAAGATATTTAATTACCGTCTAAGCCGCGCGAGAAGATATGTTGAATGCACTTTTGGTATCTTATCCAATAAATGGAGGATCTTGCATAGACCATTGGATGTATGTGCAGAAACAGCTATTGAAGTTGTAAAGGCTTGTACGGTATTACATAATTTTTTAATAAAAAAAGACGCTATATACTTGGAGAATACCCCAACCGTTATGCCCCTGGTAAACATGCCTGCAACACAGCTGCGTTCAAACGAAGGTGGTGGAAACGCAGTGCGCTTACAATTTTCCGACTATTTTGTATCTGAAATAGGCTCCGTACCTTGGCAAAACATTACAGCACATGTATCATAATAAATAAAAAGTTTCAGAAACTTACCGAAATCTTTTCTTTCCTTTTCCTCCAACTTGTCAAAATTAGGTTCAAAAACGCAACAAATTTCTCTCCACGCGGCTAATTTCAAACCTTTGTCTTTATAAATGTCTAAAGTTTTGTCCCAAAGGACAGCCCTTTGTTCCACAAGTGGAATTAAAACTTCCGGTGTTATATTATTAGCCATTGTTATACGTCCACCATGCGCAGGAGTCTGACAAGTTCTAACACGCACAAAGCAAACCGAGTACAGACGCGAGGGGCGCGCGGGTGCGAGAGGGAAGGGAAAAACACGTGTTCATCTACATAGAGTTGCCGTCCACGATTTTTTTTATCGTTTTACAACTGTCGTGCTTGCCGTCTGTCAAAAAAACTGTCGTAGACGACAGTAAATTGTGTCGTTCTAAATGTGAACACCTCCATTTAAACATATAAGCCACGACACTTAAAACTACACGATTATCTGTCGTCACGACACGGTGGGAACGCGCCCTTACAGTTTGCAGACGACATACTTTTATACATATATATGAAAACCAGAATATAAATACAGCAATTAATAGAATTAATACTGCATTGGCACAATTGCATCATTATTATAGCAACATTTTAAAATTAGAAATAAGTTCTGAGAAAAGTAAAGTTTTAGTATTCAGTAAAGACACATTTGTAAACTCTGGAATTAAAATTAACTATAATAATGATGCAATTCCTATAGCCAATCATCATAAATTTTTAGGAGTTGTGCTAGATGATAAACTGAAATTTGATAAGCATATTAACTATATCTGTCAGAATGCCATGAAGAGCATAAATGTACTAAGAAGCTTAGCAGGAACCTTTTGGGGCTCTGATCCAAAAACACATAGCATGCTGTATAAAAGTATTGTAAGGAGTCACTTTGACTATAGCCCTCTAACTTACATGAATATTAGTAGCACATTGCTAATAAAATTGGATGTGATACAGAATATGGGTCTGAGAATAATCAGTGGAGCCATGCGCATCACTCCTATTGTTTCTATGGAAGTTGAAAATTGTATACCTCCATTGTCCTTGCGGCATTTGCACTTGGCTGAAAGATTATGTTTGAAGGAGTTGTCTTGTAGCAATGATATTGTCCTGAGTAATGTTTTATATCCTGCAGAAGTCTCCCAGTTAGTTGGAACAGCCAACATCTCGGCTAATACTCTTATTTCGGGTACATTGCCTGAAATAACAACAATAACAACTTGTGTAAAAAATCAGACAAGAGATATGTACATCAATAACAAGTGGCCTGTTTACAAATGCCCATATAATACATTACTTAATTATCTTCATATAAAATGTCATTTAGATTCGGTTAGTACTAAGAGTGAATTCTTAGAATTTTTAAATGAAAAGAAAGACTTCTACACTTTATATACTGATGGCTCCAAGAGTGATCTTGTTAAAGCAGCATTTTATGACCCACAAATGAAAGTTATTAAATGTATAAAGTTGCCAAGTAATTGTAGTATTTTTACAGCAGAAAGTTGGGCTATATTAACTGCTTTGTCATATGTAAATACCAATGTAAATAGTGTAAATATCTTGATAGTTAGTGATTCTAAAAGTGTTTTATCTGCTTTATGTAATTGTAATTTAGTATATAAACAGAATTATATTTTGTATAAAATTAAGGATAAGCTGCAAACGATTGGAAAATGTATAGAATTCTTATGGGTTCCCTCACACAGTGGCATAGTCGGAAATGAGATAGTGAATCAGGCGACGCGGCAAGATCACCACGAAGACCAAACACAAGATTATAAAGTCCCCTTCACAGATTATTATCAACACTTTAAAATCTTGTCAAAGAAACTGTACGCAGATTTACAGCCAGACTTACCAACGATTCCGTGGTACAACCGCTTTAAATACACAGGCCGAAAGTTCATAACGATCATTAACCGCTTGCGGTTTGGCCATTGCCTCGTCCCTGTACATCTGTATAGAATGAAGATCGTAGCTGATGACAAATGCACACATTGCGCTCAACATAATGCAGACATAAACCACATAATTTTCCAGTGCCCATCGTTTGGGATTCAAAGCATAGATTACTGCCTATATTTCAAAGGTTGACACTTGTCAGTGAAATTAGTGATGTCGCTGAAGAAAATTCTATAACCGTGCGTTCGCACTGACGCGATTTTCAAGAAAAAACATGTTTTAAACACTGTTTTCTGTCAATGTACCAAAAAGCGTTTTCATAGTCACTAAACATATTGTAGTTAAATATGTTTGATAGTTTATTGTACACTACATATTATAACTATATTATATCTATATAACTGCAGAAACAAAATGTTAAAAAAACAAAAACAAATTTGTAGAAATATTGTCATGTTGAAAGATAAGTTTGACGTTAATTTTGTATTTGTAGACACTTTTTAATCGAGACAGAGAACTTTCAACAATGTATTCAAATGATGAAGAGGTTTTATTTTTTTTTAAGTACCTGTACTGTATATTTACAACAAAAAAGAAAGAAATCGAGGTTCTGGGCGCGCGTGCAATGAGTTTGACAGTGATTCGCAGTGGAATACGGGATAGAGACTAAAAACTGTGGTGCATGACGATTTAAAGAAAATTAAAGAAAGTGATACATGAGAAAATTCTACCAATTGCGTAATCACATTAAAACATTAAAAGCCAAAATTGTATTAAGTGTTTAGCTAATGAAAATAGAGTAAGAAAATTATCCAAGAAAATAACATCAACATTTGCGCTGTAATTACAACTTCAAATAGGAAATTGAAAGAAAAAGCTACATGACATTGAAAATCAATGCCATGTGGCTTTATAAAAGGTCACCCACCTGTTACAGGCTACTCAGGCTCTATTAAAGGGTTAACTGAGTACTCTTTGCTGTTGGAATCAATCAACCAGTTTTTAAGGCCTGGCAGATTTTTTAAATACTATAAAACCATCAGACAATCAATTTATATTGATATTTGATGAAATGTCTTTAAAAAAATGTGATGTATAAACCAAAAGAAGATTTGATTGAAGTGTATTAGGATCATAGTACACAACATCTTCAGTCATTGCATCATATGCATTAGTATTTATGATTGTTAGTACTAGGAAGACTGAAACAGCCCATTGCCCACTATTTCCCCAATGCATTTTTAACTGCAAATCAACTTACTGTACTAATAAAAGAGGTAATTATTAGTACTTTGTATGATGTTTCATTTTATTTCAACAGTTGAAATTAAAGTTGATTATAAAAGCTCAACGGTTGTAAAACATATTTAATTTTTAATTTCAGGTTTGAATCAGTCATAGCTGGCATAACTTCCAGGCTCTCAGGCTGGAATGAATATATCTGCAACAGTGTGTGACATGGACTGAGTAAATTTACAAGTTCTCTCTATCTTGGGTGCAAATGTGCAACGACTATATTTTGCATTCCATAACAAAGAGATAGTGACCCTTTGATACGCCATATTTATTACATAAGGGATCTTGCAATGGAGTTAATGCATTTCACATTGAAATAACTTTGTTTTGATTTGTTGTAATATTGGTTTATGATTAACAAATCTCCAATATTAAATGAACATTTTGCATATTATATTTTATTGTTTTAAGAAAATAAAATATTAACTGAGTCACTACTCACTAAGTTTCAATTATTTCTATGTGAAATATAGAATAAGTTCTTGTAAACGTTGTGTGTGACACATTTCTAGAATATCTCTCCTGCCTTACTCTTGTACCATACAACTAAACATTTAGCTATAATAATATTGAGCCATTTGTCAGATTAGAACATAGCACATAGCTAATTATTTTACTTCTTCCCACTTTTATCCATTTCTTGATTGCGGTAAAATTGTTTTAATGTTTTTGTTTTTCTATTTGGTATGTATTTAATGGGGAGGGCTTAGCAGCTGTAACACAGGTCTGTGACCTAGCACAGTTGCTAAAGATACCTTAATATACTATTGAGTTAGATTTACGTCTTATCAATGTAATTTTGTAAGTATATGTTTTTATGTAGAGTATATTTGGATTCAATAAATATTATTATTATTATGTGGGGTATCCATATAGTTTTCTCATCTGGTTGGGTTCTATAAATATATAATTATAAATGAAAATGAAAAGATAAATATACATAAATATCAATGAAATAAAACAAATACAATAATACATAAATAAATAAAAGCCCAACCAGATGGAAGCCCTCAGCAGGGGAGACCAAACGGCCGAGGGTTAGGGGGAAAGGGAAAGAAACCGGCGGGCGATATCGAGGAGCACCGCCTTCTGCATTTGAGCTCGGAGCGGTCCGTCACGGAGTCCCAGTCGCCTCAGATGACCCGAGAGGCTAATTGGGTTTAGCCCATTCGCAGAGACGACTACGGGAAAAATTTCGGTCGGCAGACCACCCCACATGTCGGTCACCTCGTGAGCCTTTCACTAGGTTCTCGTCATATGGAATGGTAATATCGACCAAAGATATCCTTGACTGTGCCCGGTCCATCAGCACAATATCAGGTTTATTCGCAAGAATAGTCCTGTCTATGATGATGGCCCGATCCCAGTAGAGCCTGGCGCGGTCATTTTCGAGCACGGCTTCCGGTAAGTACTTATAATAAGGCAGTTTCCGATCCACAAGACCATATTTCAGAGCGAGCTCCTGGTACAGAATTCTGGCTACTAGACTGTGTCTGTGTAAGTACTTTGACATGCCTAAGTGACTCACCGGGACGGCGAGAAGCTTATTATTACTCTTACGAATGTTTGCGTGTGCAGTAAAATCACTTACAATGCATTATTGAGCATTTAGAATTTAAGAGATAAAAAGGATACAAAGTTTCAGATTTTTTAAAATTGATTTGTCTTTAACGGCCTATATTAGTTATCTTTACCTTCCGCAAATTGACGGTTATAAATACCCTGTATATCTCAAGGAAACACAGATTATTGGAATAAGCCTAAACTATAGTAAGCTTTGTAAAATTTTGAGAGAAAGGTGGTATATGCTTTCATATATATAATTAGTAGAACATGTGGAAGAAAAATTTCTTGTCACTTAAAACACATTATGAAGATGGCAGTGACAAACAATTATTTGATAAACAGTTTTCTAAATTTCTTTTTTAAATTATGTATTTTAATTGAATAAATAATTAGAAATTTGTATGGTATTTTATTATGTTCTTTTATAACGAGTTCTGGGACAGGCAACCTAAAAAAAAAACCACAAAATTTTTCCGCCTCACGAGAGAATTGCAGATAATCTGATTAATGATAAAGATGGAATTTGTGGAGATATATACCACATTTAATAGTTTCACTCAATAGTGCCTCTCAATGGATCATAAGATGAACATGGACAAAACAAATATCATGTTAAATGTCCGTGTCACACCTATGTCGGTAGTTGTTGGGAGCACTAAGCTGGAAGTTTTTGACTAGTACGTTTACCTGGGACAAATAGTCTGACTAGGTAAGTCCAACTTCGACCGAGAGGTCAATCGACGGATTCAACTCGGCTGGGCAGCGTTCGGGAAATTACGACGCATCTTCTCGTCAGGTATACCTCAAAATCTGAAAACTAAAGTGCTACAACCAGTGCGTGTTGCCAGTGATGACTTACGGATTAGAGACGTGGTCCTTCACTGCTGGCCGTATGAGGACGCTCAAAGTCGCTCAGCGAGCTATGGAGAGGGCTATGTTCGGAGTTTCTCTGCGTGATAAACTTAGAAATGAGGATATCCTCAGTAGAACCTGAGTGACCGACATAGCCCAACGGATTAGTAAGCTGAAGTGGCAATGGGCCGGCCATATAGCTCGAAAAACTGAAAACCGTTGGGGAAAAAAGGTTCTCGAGTGGCAGACTCGTACCGGTAGGCGAAGTGTTGGGCAACCCCTCACTAGATGGAGTGACGACCTGGTAAGACATGCACGTAGTCGATGGATGCAGGTGGCCCAGGACCGTGCTTTGTGGCATACCTTGGGGGAGGCCTATGTTCGGCAGTGGACTTGTGAAGGGTTGTAATGATGATGATGATGATACCACATTTATATTTTGTATTAAGTTATCATTCGTCTCCGCTAGGGTTGATAATGTTTTGTGATGTTTACCAACTAAATTAGATAACAGAAAAACACGATTTAAAACAAATCGCGAAATATAAGAAAACAACAGTACGAACGCTAACGTTGACAAATCTGTAGATAAACAAGTAAAATGTCTATGTTGTAATCAATGCGAACACAGCTAAAAACAAATCTTGATATCTGTTGAAAAATTTACACAGTTTTCGTGACTGCGAACGCCACCATCAACAAAACATGTTGTGTGATTTATTTTATGTGATTTGTTTCAATACATTACATGTTGGATGTTTCTTAGTGCAAACGTACTGTTAGTGTTCCCCGCCGCGTTCAGGATCTATTAACTGATGTAGTTTTTTCATGGCTCTATTTAAATTTATACTTAATACTGTAGGAAAACTTTAATTATTTATGTGTCCTTAGTTAATTGATAATGTTTGTAAATAGCTTCTTAGTTCAGTTTGTAATTTAGTCTGTTCTATATTTATATAATAGGGAAAAAAAGTAGAAAAATGATGGAAAACCATTCTAAATTGTTATTGCTAAAGTTAAATATTCTTAATTTGACGTATGATTTGTGTTATACTGTAATGTTTTCGACTGAAGGTCCTCGCAACCATGGTCACGAATAAATTAAAAAAAAATGGTCTGTGTAGTCCACAGACCAGAGTACTTTTTAATATACTGAAAGTGTAATGTTTCTGTTTATATTACTCTACTCTATGGTGTAGTGTAGTTCGTGCAGATGCCGTGTAGTCTGTGAGACAATTTGTGAAAAGAAGTGCTGGTGAAATCCCTAAAGGTGAAATTGAAAGCGTTTTATTATAATACAGTGAACGTGTTTTCTTCTGTAGTATTCGGTAGTTTATACAGCAATTAAATATAGCTGATTTAGTGCACAAAGAAGGTAAGATGAGACGGTAATTCTGTAATTATCGTTGTAGTGTTTTGAAAACGGATCAATCATATTGTTGCGCCATTCATTATTTCGTTTACGTTTAGCTTTAGTATCACTCTAGTACATTCTAGACCCTGAAGTTTTCAAACAACTATTTAGTAATTAGTATATTTAAACAAGGAATTCAAGGTTTTTTTCCTTTTTTTTTAAACGAAATTAAGTGAACACCGAGTTACTGAAAGCAAACGCAGGATATAAATAGAACTTACTAAATCGATATTTGTAATCAAAATACTGAAAATTGCGTCACGTATATCAACCAAATTGATAAACCTATTACTCGCACACCAGTTCAAATCAGAAACCATTTACTTTTTTTATTACATAACTCATTTTTTTGTATTTAACATGTTATTGTTGATTTTTTTCAGATCAGTGCTAGAACTCTCCGTAAGTGCAGTTAGATCTATTCAAAACGGCTACCGAAAAACTAAATACCACCGATCAGGCCAACTACAATACAATGTGTATGTATATAATTTTTTAATTTATTTTTTCTTCTTCAGCTTAACCCGGACCATGTGGCAGAAACCAGGAGTATATCCCGGAGGTGCCTTTGTTAATTATAATTATTTGTGTATCACTGTGCCCCTGTGAAAAATATGTCTGTATGAAAAGTCCAAAACTTCAATGCAGTCATACAGTCTTATTTATAAAAAAAATACAAAAATATTACTTAAAGGTTTTTAAAATGTCAAGTAGCAAAAGGATTTAAAAACGGGTTTTTAATTTGGTTATGGTGTCTTTCTTTAGGTTCTAATAAAGATTCCGCTTTTTGGTTTTTCTGAAATATGACAAAATTTAAAAAACCTATTCAAGATATTCTTAAATTATATTATAAAAGGCCAACTATAAATGAAATTGTAACGACATTTAAAAATTATAAAACCCCAGTTGCCAGTTCATTTTTAAGAAGGCCTTGTTTTCGAAATAAGTGTAGATTTTGATAGATTGAATAAAGTTTTGACTTTGGTATGGTTCCAGTTCTGGTTTTGATTAAGTTTTCAGTTTTAAGATATTGGTCCCAAAATACTGAAAATTTTCAGGTTACTAGTTGAAGTCTCTGTGGTGTTTTATTTTAGCCTTTTTATCATTATTACCTTGAACTGGGGAATGTTGTCTTTCCTATTGTGTCTATCACTCCATTATTTTATCCAAGTTAATAATGTTGTTGCTCATTAATTGGTATAATGAAGTTGCCTAACAGTTCTCATTTCTGTTTCTATTAACATAACCATTAAATACCAGGTCCTTAGCCCAGTGGTGACTGTCTTAAACTCCACAGGATATTCCCAAAAATTTAAAGAAACAAGTTTTTTTTAAATTCAACTTAATATTATTTTTATGCTGATTATTGGAAAATTTAAGCCATGAAAAATTCTGTGACAGTTCAAAATTAAAATGGAGTGGCTTAAGAAAGAATTACACTCATGTATGACTCAAGCTTACAACCTTTCAGATGATCAATATATTAGATGATTATATAAATATATTTGGAAATGTTTATAAAAAAGACTGTTCATTTCACCTGTTTTAATATAAAGTTCTTGATTTTTATGAGTTAAGAATCAATATTACATTTTGGTTTCTTATTTTTTTCTTTTTACACGTATGCACATTATGTGTACATATACTATTCATTTTATATACTACACATTTTTTTCAATAAGAAATTGAAAACAACATTCCCTTCTGTCTACACTGCAAAGGTTTAGTCACTAGTCACTACACTGCACTTTGTATAATGTTGTTTTTATCAAATGTACTGTTTTGATTCAGCAATATAATAGACAACACAATGAACTGTCTGCATATCCTAATTTCAAGGTTACAACATGACTATATAGAGTCTTGAAATAAGCACATTGCATGCGTGCTTTCGTAAATTTGTGCAGGTGTGCATGCATGCTTGGTGTATATGCGTGTGCTTGTATGTCTCTCTTAAATAATGATGTTGTTAGCGAACTACAAAAAAGGTTTTTTTAGTTTGATCTTTGTTTTTTTGGACTTCAGGAGTTGATATAAATTATTAAAAACAAAATTTCACTTCTGAAGTTGAAAAAAAGTACTGCTGGGTTTCTTGCTGGATCTTCCCAAGGCAGAGGTTTTTACCTTCTTATTAGATTAGATGAAAAGTGGTAAAATTAAAAATTTTATACAACCAACTTCAATATAAATAAAAAGAGAATGTTATCAATGTACTTGAAATCAATTATATATGAATTATTTAGGATAATTCAAGAACTTATTATAACAGTTTGATCAAGAACTGGTCAGATTTTGATCAAATCAAATATGGGACCACATGAGAAGCATCAGCTTCATCACAAATCATCAATACATAAAAAATACAATCGAATTGAGAACCTCATCCTTTTTTGAAGTCGGTTGAAAATGAATACAAGCATATAATCTACAACAATTTTCTAGAAACCATTTTATCGACAATTGCCAATGTCCTGTTTAAAAATGTTATTTAAGACCTTGTGACTGTCCAGATTAAAAAAAATGGGCGGATGAATTGTTCATTGTAGTGGAATGAAGGTGGCTTTGGATATTACCTATATTGGCGATTTTTTTTATATTTAGATTCTTTACAATTTCTCCTACCTAACTTGTCATAATATGTTAGATATGGTGTTCAAGGATTACGCAAGCAGGCTTTAGGGGCGGGGTAGAGGGGGGTAAATAATATTTTACGTAACATTGCAGTATAGGGTATTTTGTTTTTAGTCTAGATTTATGTTTAAAATTAGCGGCTATTTTATGAATAAAATTAATATATATAATAATAAAAATAAATAAATGGTTTTAAGTTATATTATAAGATGTTAAATGTTATTTTACGTACCTTAAAATTCTATTATAACTATATTAACAACATGTTTTTCAGATTGACACTTTACAGAATTGGGATAAAAAAGATGGGAGTTGATATAGAGTAGGTGTATGTTATATGACTGTTATGGCTTTTTAGTTTGAGACAGCTTCAAAATAACTTGGCGTTTAAAGTTAGACTTAGAAAAAATTTAAATATCAATGTTACTATATTTACTATTATAAATTTTGGATAAAGGAGTCATAACAGCATTCATACCGTATTTGGTACGATGTTTAGGTACACTGAAAAGTGGGGTCTTTCTTGTACGGTACTTAGTAGTGCAGAACCGGATATTAGTAAGAAGATTGGGGCTATTACTGTTACTGTGAAGGATATCCTGTAAAAACACACATTCCGTAATTCTCGTCTAGATTCCAGTGATGAGAGACCGTATTTAAGGCAATCTTCATTATAAGTTCCACGACTACACATACCTGCAAAGTTTTGTAATTGAGGTTCTTTATGAAAAGGTTCTGTATTCTTTCTAATCTGTTTATGTATAAAACATATTGCGGTGACCATATGGAGCTACCATATTCAAGAATACTGCGACAATATGCATAGTAGAAGACAGTTTATGTTTTTAAAAGGTTTACAAATCCTCATAATGTACCCCAGATTGTGGTATTTATACATTTACGAAATGATTGACATGCTCAGAAAACATCATTATAAAATAAAGAAAAAATTTATTTTATAAAATAAGGGTGACAAATGAGCACACAGTCGACCTGATGGTAAGTGGATGCTGTGGCCCATAGACATTGACATTTATCCTCGAATAAGAATCAAAACGTAGATGTGTTGTCACCCCTGAGGGCTAAGATGGACTGACTCGTTCCCAGTACAAAAGGGTCTCCGGATCTGTACACACACTCACCATACGAAATAGCCGTATTAAGCTGCTGTTTTACGCTGGTATTCTGTGAGAGTGTGGTCCTTCCCCGGTCGAGTCGACCCATTCGTGCTACAACCACAATACAGCTGCAGCGTGGCTGTATTACGCTAACTCTACACTCACCATACGAAACACCGCATTATTCTGCTGTATCACTCTGGAATTAGGTGAGAGTATGGTCCTATATCGGTCGAGCTGACACATTCGAGCTACAACCATAATATAGTTGCAACATAGCTCTATCATGTATAAACATAGGAAATTCTCTTAGGCCGCCATTAACACGCTAAGAGTATACATAAGCCAAGCTTATGTATACTCTAAGATTAAACGGCTATTCTATGAGCGATTGCTAAATCAGTACACCTTAATTGTTTGTTATGAGATTTTTTAAAAAAAGTCAACATTTAAAAATTAAATAATGTACAGCATTTATTGCGCTTACGCAATTAGTGTCAAGGTTGCAAGTAGTATCTACCTGCCCACCCACACATATTCTCATTAGAGTTAATCTTGTTACCAGACACGCAAAAATTGGTTGCCTTCACTGTTTTCACACATGCATCTTCTTTATTGTTATGAACTCGTATGTGTGTGTGTGTTGTGTTCAGAAGTGTGTGCGATTTATTATTGACACATTCATAGTGTTAAAGATACTTTAGTGGTAGAGTCATACTCCAGTTGTATTATAATTGCGGCACGAATAGGTTGGCCCGACCGGGGAAGGATAACATTCTCACAGAATACCAGCGTGGAACAGCAGAATTAGGGCCGAACCTCATTTGCCATTCACAGTTTGTTCTCGGTCTGATTTATTATAATGGAATGGGATTCGACCGAAACCCTATGGTATGAATGCACACACATATTTTTTACTTCATAATATTTTATCAGACCAGGATCGGAGCGAGAACGAACTGTAAATGGCATTATAATGAAGATCGGTCCTTATACTGCTGTCTTTCGTATGGTGAGTGTATGTGGTATAGAGATGAGGTGAGTATGAGAGTTTATGTGGTAGAGCCACGCTGCAGCTGTATTGTAGTTGTAGCACGAATGAATCAGCTCGACCGATGTAGGACCACACTCTTACATAATACCAGAGTGATACAGCAGAATAATGCTGTGTTTCCAATAGTGAGTGTAGAGTTTATGTGGTAGAGCCACGCTGCAGCTGTATTGTAGTTGTAGCACGAATGAATCAGCTCGACCGATGTAGGATCACACTCTTACATAATACCAGAGTGATACAGCAGAATAATGTTGTGTTTCCGATAGTGAGTGTAGAGTTTATGTGGTAGAGCCACGCTGCAGCTGTATTGTAGTTGTAGCACGAATGAATCAGCTCGACCGATGTAGGACCACACTCTTACATAATACCAGAGTGATACAGCAGAATAATGTTGTGTTTCCGATAGTGAATGTAGAGTTTAAGTGGTAGAGCCACGCTGCAGCTGTATTGTAGTTGTAGCACGAATGAATCAGCTCGACCGATGTAGGACCACACTCTTACATAATACCAGAGTGATACAGCAGAATAATGCTGTGTTTCCAATAGTGAGTGTAGAGTTTATGTGGTAGAGCCACGCTGCAGCTGTATTGTAGTTGTAGCACGAATGAATCAGCTCGACCGATGTAGGATCACACTCTTACATAATACCAGAGTGATACAGCAGAATAATGCTGTG